CTCTGGAATAGTGAAGTAATTTTCCTCTTCTGTATTTCACCACTACTAGTGCCTACCTCGATAACTTACTAGAAACTCATGTATCTTCTTGAATTTGACATACTTTGGCAGCCCTGCTATCGAGTAACCAAGAAAAGGGTTGCGGGTTTAACTTTATTTTGTGTTCCAACTACACTTTCAGGGTCTACACTTCGTACTGCGTCCTCTGGCAATAATAATGTTACTCGATGTCATAACCTATGACGGAATCACAGTTGGCACAGACATGCGTCAACACCAGTCGTGGGCTTGGTTAAAACGCCCAATTCGGAGGCACACTTAGAACACTTAATTTCAGCTAACGGCGAGAATCGAGCTTATGTTACTGAGGCACATGAAGGCCGTCCCCTTAAACTGCGGTTTTCGAAGGACAATTCAACCACTTTGAGCTAGATTTTACTCTTCGACGTCGGAAAGCTCCCTTCCAAACTTCTCTTTCAGCCAGTAGTTCACAAAACTTGATGAAAGTCATGAAACATTTTCAGTTGTCCGCAGGATCGAGTCAAGCTTTGGGTTTGCTAATTCGTCATCACTCCTCAAACCCGCGGCAAACCAATTGTTATTGTCGTTAGCATAATTAGAGATAGTATATTTGTAGACTTTCAGTAATTCTTGAGTAAAAAACGTAGTCAACCTAGGCCACTTAAAATATTTTAAAGAGTGAATGAGGTGATTAGGCCTTACGATTACAAATAATGTCTCTTAGCATTGCCTCCCAGAAGGTTTACTCATCCAGAGTGGACTGTAGTTTAGACCTTTCCTGGGTCCCATTAATATCCCCAGCGGGACTAAATTCCGGGTCTCGAGAATAGAGGCGGCATTTCCTATTCTGTTACATAGCCATGAGAGTAGGTAGGCCGCGAGGCAGTTAAGACTTTCAAGACAAACCAGGCATCATATTTCCATTTTAATCTTCAATGTTACTCATATTCGGTATTAGTATGTTTCGAGACTATCAGTAATTATTAAGCAAAAGATTTGTCGCTCAGGTCGCTTAAGGGGGAGCTTTTGCAGCCAGCTCACCTTCGGGGCTGTGTAGCAAAGTATTAACGTATCACTACAGCTCATGCTCCCCAATATGAGAGATAATTAGTCAAATCTGCCTATTAATTTTCGTTTTTATTTATGGGTATATATAAGAGGTAAGATAGAGCCGGATAGTCTTCTTGACCTAGTGTTGGCCTTACACTTTTACGATAATGAGTTCCAGCTCCGATGATAAACGAAAGCTCTGCCTGTTTTCACCCGAAGCGAGGGAGGATGTCTCGTGGACTGTGTCAACCTGAACGTCGTATTATAGCCAAAAGGCGGTAGTACAACAGGATTCAGCCTTCGTCTTCTGGTGAGATCGAGCTACGAGTCTCTTCTCTATGCGCTTTCATAAAAAATTAATGTATATAGGATTATTTGGTCTTATCAGAGTACCTATACATGTACAGATGGCAACACACTCAAGTATAAGTAGTCTGATTAATATGAAAGATACTTAACTAAATTATTGTGTTGGTTTGATCTAGTTTTCGCAACTTGGTTGGGGTGCCAAGGGGACCATGTGGAATGTACCTAGTCCTCTGTCCTTTGCCATAGCATCGGATACATAAAGTTTCGTCGCTATCGTCTTTGAGAGGCGTAATCGTTAGCACAGAGTTACGACCTATCAAAGTGACAAATGAAGACAATTCCCTTGACCAATTTTTGTTCAACCAAGTCGATGGTCCCAGGCTGGAAATCGCGAATACTATGGCAGAGGACGCTCGACTGGGTATGTTTCACAAGGTTTCCCTGACACTCCAAACAAATTGATAAAACGAGGTCGAATCAACACTATAAAGGTAAAAGAGACTGCGACCAAACCAGAGGCCACACCATCTTGGTCTTCATATCTATGATCTAACATAAGTATTCTCTATCCAACCATATCTGTATAGTTTCATTTAGGGAATGAAGACCAAGCTGATGTGACCTTTAGTATGGTCGCAGTCTCATTTAGTTGATTTGTCTATTTGACGAGTTGTAATGTGGTGCTAAGGATGACATGGCTCACTGACGATGACGACTTCGATGCTGGAAATTACCATGGGTACTATGGACTCTGGGCAAGGTGCGTTCCTCTAGGCCTCGCTGGCATTATTTCCAAGTTGCGAAAGCAATGCCAAACAACTTCTATATATTTTCATTTTTAGTATGAGCATATATAGCATGTTAGATAGAGCCGGATAGTCTCTTAGCTTAATGTTAACTTGAGACTTTTGCAAGAGTGAATGGCGAAGGAGATCTCCACTTGTTTTTACTCGGAAGTATGGAGAATGTTGAATGCAGCACCCTGAACGTTGTATCAAAGCCAAACGGATACAAGACAATGGGAATCTGTCTTCGTCTTACTGCGAGATCAACTTACGAATCTCTTGATCATGCCTTTTTATGCGAACTGAAAGGATCCAGTAAAGTAAGCTAAACCACATCGAGTGGCCCACTCACGCAATTTTTGGAAAATATCCACTCTACATTCACTATCTTTACTTTACGTACCCTAGACTAACAAAGTTTTCATTAATCAACTCAGCATAGATTATAGACTGTTGTTTTTATAACTTCGTTAACTTTCGAATCATCACTTTGCTCTCTTTGTTGCTGCGTTATTTGCCATTACTTTTCTACTTGACTTCTCGGACTCGATTTGTTTTCACTTTCACCTGCTTCGATTGGACCTATTCCTTTTAGCATTCCCCCTTTAACTTAACATTTCTCCAAATTTTTGACATCAACCTCGAAAGAATCCCCTCATTTTTGTATGAAACATTTCGACAAATATAGAGGCTACAACATCCTGGTCTTCATATCTACTAAATCTTTCCTTTTTCCCACCTTTTGACAACACTACTTCTTGTCCCAAAGGAGGAAAGACTCCTCCTCCACCGCCGCCACCTCCTCCGCCGCCTCCTCCTCCACCACCACCACCACCACCGCCTCCTCATGGAATTGGGTCATTTCGTGGCGGGGTGCCTCCACCTCCGCCGCCGCCACCATCACATTTTCAGACTGGTACAGTGAGCCAGCCGCTTCACGAGGCTGTTCCCGGCCTGCCTCCAGTCCTCGGAGGAGAAATGGTCAAGGCACGTAAGACCATTCGTCTCCACTGGACTGAATGGAAACCGACTCCGGCTGAGTTGGCCGCCATCGTGGAGGCGCGAAAAGAGGAAGAGGATCGTTTGGCAGCAACTGGCGCCAAGGGAGTTGTCTCCAAGTTTTACAACCAGATGACTCGTAACACTGAACGTCGTAACAGCCTCCTCTCACCTGGCTCCTCTACAAGCCATAAGAGATCGCATCCATTTAAAATACGCAATGTGTGGTGCGAAGTGACACCCGTCAAGGTTGATCCGACCCTGCTGGAGGATATTTTTGAGAATAAGTCTATGGACGTGAAAGTCAAGGTGAATTGAACAGTTTTGTCGGCTCTTCTGGAAGACCACCTTAAGAAGGGATCGTTTTGCTTTTTATCTTAAGACACCTATTTGTCTCATTTTTAGATGATTTTTAACGTAGTTCTGAAACTTTTTTTCAACGTCGCTTGGCTTCTTGGCTCCTATGAATTCACAATATACATTTACATATTGAAATTAAATAGCTTCCGAAACATGTCGAAAT